AGTCGCCGTCTTTACTTGGATATGGGTTATGGGTTGGGTTATGGTTATTAGTCCGATTATCGTTATAGGCTCGTATTGGATTATGGGTTGCGTTGGGTTATGGTTTAAGTTATTAGTTAGTACGATACTTACGCATGCGCAGTAATAATTATTTTTTTGAGGAAAATGTTAATAGGCATACCTATTTCTGGGTAGCGCTAAAAGTAAGGTTAATACAGTTAAAGAAACCCTCGAAAATAGTGATTCCCATTTTGAAAAATCACTATGACCTTGAAATAACCTTGAAAATCGAGTTCAAGGTCAAGATCAGAGTACAGATAGGTGACCCCCTCGGCCCCCTTTAACATTTGTCTGAACCAATTTTACGTATTTGGCTTAGGTTCCGATATATTCAATTGGGAAATCAAAATTCGCAAACCTGACCTTCATTCGACCTTGCCATGACCTTGATTAACATATCATTTTGAACGTAAAATTTCCCGCTCTTTTCAAATCCAAGGTAAAAAATAGGTGTTCCCATTTAAAAAAATCACTTTGACCTTGAAATAACCTTGAAAATCGAGTTCAAGGTCAAGGTCCTTGGTACCATTACGTGACCCTCTCTGTCCCCTTCTACTTTTGTCTGGACCATTTTTCTCTATCTGACTTAGATTACGAGAAATTCAGGTGGGGAGATTAAAATGGCCCACCGTGTATATATATATATATATATATATATATATATATATATATATATATATATATATATAGCATAATTTATATATGATTTATTATTATATTTAATATATGATATATTGTATCGAATTTACTTACTTGGATTTGAGGTTGAAGGTGGTATTCTATACATATCAGGAGGACCAAATCGTGGTGGGAATGGTCTAACTGGTGTCATTAAAGGAGGATGTTGGCCTCTTACTAAAGGAGGAATCTGTCCTCTGGGAATTGTGATCATAGGACTTACCATAATAGGTCTTGGAGGAAAATTCTGTAATGAAATCATATTCAAAAATAAACTAATTGCAACTATCAAAGATTAATTAAATTGATAATTTTGTGTATAGATTTTACTAACACTATAATAAATAGGCACTGGTACATGTTCAACGTAATGTGGTACTGTAGTTCTTCTATTTCTGGATCTCGATCTGTCTCTGTTTCTATCTCTGTCTCGATCTCGATCCCGACCCCGATCCCAATCCCTATCTCTATCTCTGCTTCTGTCTCTATCTCTTCTTTCCCGAGAACGTTCGCTTGATCTATCGTGATATCGATTACGATAAGATCTGTTGTCTATAATGGACCTTCAATAACAATAATTATCTAATTTTTAACATAGATTTCTTCATCCACCATTTCTGTTGCACGTAAAAAAAGAGAGCCCTATATTAATAACAGCATATTATACAAATGATTGTTTCGTACTTGGAATCGGAAATGCGTACGTCGCGTTCTCGAGAATACGAACGATTACTATCGTGCCTTCTTACATCCCTATCTGTATATTTATTTTTATATTCCTTATATTTCTCTATACTATTGTGTCTGTAATAGAGTAAAAATAAATAATTATTATTATTTATATTTTTAAAAATATATAATTATTGTTTGCAGTTATACAATATAATATTATAGTTAATATAATATAATATTTACTTATCCACATTTTTTAAAAAGAAAAATGTCCGACTTACTTTTATTAATAAATGATTAATTAATAATTATATCAATAACTACAATAATTATATTAATAATAATTAATAAGTAAATAAATAATATATATAGAAGGTATCTTTTTTTACCTGTCACTTTTATGATAGTCAGTATATTCTACCTTTCTAACTGGATGTTTTGACTCAGTATTTCGATATCTAAAACAGAATAAAAATAAGACATTAAGATGAGTAACATATTTAAATATTATACATATTGAACTATTATTAGTAGATTAAGAATAGTACAGTAGTTACACGTACCTAACGTGATAAGACGATAGATATTCAGAACTATAATTGTTACTTCTAATAGAGCTCGACGATAATGAATGTCTTTTAGAAATCCGTAATTTGCTTGGCGAAACTAAAATGTCATAAAATTAAAGAAATGCATATTTTCACCACCAATATGCTATAACGCAATAAACATTCGCGAATTATAGCGCGCCAAAGTATTTCTATTAAAAAACTAACAATTGATAATATAAAGAGATTATATTCTATAGAAAATCTATTTGTGACATTCAAACAGAATTTATCAACTTTCCCATGTCACAGTTAGCAGAAGCATATTCTTCAAAAGGGGAGCAATTTGTTTAATGGCAATCATTTTATTCGTTCGAAATTTAGTGTGTTTTGAAAGAAATGCGAACGCGGTCCTTCAATTTTATAAAACGTAATTGAGTAACAATTATAGTCGTTTATAATAATGTATACCTGATTTCTCGCCATCTAGAGATACAACCGTACGCTGTTCCTCCACTTCACGAACCACCTTTTTTATTTCCTCTCTCTCGAATAACGGTTTACATCCTTCCCCTGTATAATTTATTACATCTTTTAATGATATAGTTGTCACATAAAAACTATATACTAATAATACAATAATTTACAATCCTTTTGATTATTTAAATAACGCAATATCTTTATATTTAGATTTGTTGTTAATCATTATTTGATGTCATTGTAATAGTAGTGCAAAAAATGGATATTAAACTTGTGATGCACTTTTGTGAACAGATATAAAGCAAATAATGATACTAAAAATGTAAACCTATATGTTATACAAAAGCAAAATAATTCTTTTATTGTGCATGATGCTAATACTAATTTGATACTAAAACTAATTTGATGCTAATACTAATATTTATTTTAAAATCTTACAGGCGATCTTCAATGTTGAAGTATCTTCAATGCTGTTATGAAGAAAATATCAAAAGTGAGGTATACTTTAAATAAAACTTTTTGATGGAAATATTTTGCTAAAAGTTTCATGACTTCGTTAAAAATTGGTGTCAAAATTATTAAAAAATTATTAAGTGTATTTCAATTTGAATTAATTTTCTTGATATGAGATATAATTAGATACTGCAAAATATATAAGAAATATTAATAAATACCTAAATAGCATAATAAATTCTTAAAGTATTCCCGAAGTATTCTTTTTTGAATGGTAATTCTTTAAGAATTCGAAAGAGTATACTTTAAAAATAACTAAAAAAATTACACCATACACTATAATTATAACTCCTGACAACTTATTAAAGTATTCCATTTTGAATTACTTATGAACAACAAATGTATATTTTATAATTTTTTTATATATTGATACATACATATGAACAACAAATGTGTATTTTATAATTTTTTTACATATTGATATGTATTTTTCTAACAAAAACTATTCGTAAATGTCAGCGTTTGCTGATTTTACTTGAAACTTAGATCCCAAGTATTACATCATATTTAAAAATTCTCACTAGCACTGATGGGAACTTGAACCTGACACTTTTTTCTGAATTATGAGTCTATTACTTTCGGCATTACACCATTTCTTCGATCGATATAAACGTCTTATGTTTTATCTATATATGTTGTAATTAACGCAATAATTAATAGTAATATAATTTTTTATAATACCCACATAATATTAGAATATACATAGCATATTCCACGTATAACATCTATGTATATTGCATATCCTATGTATGTACACTTGAGGTACATGGTACGTGGTATGTACATATAATGTCTGTACATCCACAACGAGGCACATAGAATGTTCCATGCATATACATATGTATATACATCCTATATTCTTTACATATCCATGTATATACATTCTGTATATTCTCTGAATATACATAACATCTACATACTAATATGCATTAGCATGTGTAACATATATACATAAAACATACATTGTATATACATAATGTATGTAAAAAAAAAATATTTGAATATACATAATCCAGACAGCACAAAGTATTTATAAACTATATGTTCTTAGTTTTCATTTTATATTGTTTTACACTTTACTTAATTCAAGTTAAATTGTACTTCGAAAATTTGCTTACCATTGCCGAGATTCGAACCTAAGACTTCTAGTTCTTGAGTCGTTCACATTACCTATTACATCACTGTCACTTTGACTGAAAGACGTTTTGTATTGTATATATATGCTATATCTACGTATGAAAACAAATAATTTATTTGAAAGAAGAGAATAAATAATTTTAAATATAAGGTGTAGTAAAAAGAAATCCATTATTTTTCCAATAGATGGCTTTAGTAATGTATATCTCGCGTTGTATAAGTGCGATCGGTTTACGCTAGATGGCGTTAGAAAGATAAGATTTCATACTAAAAAAACTTCTCAGACAGTTTTATGATTGTTTGACTTGTGGCGCCTCAGCCTGTGCGACACACACACGTGCAAGGGCGCACGCAGATGCAACCGCCGCCAAGCGTCAGCAGACGAAAGCAGCGGCTACAGCCGCGCCAGGTGTTCACGATCGTTCCGTAGTCGCGCGCTGTGCCGGTCGGTAACCAATATAGTTAATTCCGAGCCACCGAACAAGTCGTCACGTTTCTCCGTCGATCCGGCCACGTCCTCACTTCGCCTCGCGGGCGACCGTGTTCTCTCGTCGTTTTGCAGTGCTGCGAGCTCTGTACGCGCTCGCGTATTATAATTTGTACTCTGTGCACAACTGTGCAGCAAACGTTTCGGCTGCGGGCTCATCCCCGGTCTCAATTGCGTGACATCACCGACACACGCGGATCGCACCTCGTATCTCACACGTGCCCGCAGCAAATCGATCACGCTCGTGCGTGGAAATCAGAGTTTCGCGTCATTAGTGCATCGGCTCCCGCGCACTCCCAGGTGCCGGCGAGTACACCATCGGGCAGTGTGCATTAGTGCAGCAGTGTAAGCAAGCTCGCTTGCCACGCGCGTATCACGTGTTCGGCAAGCGAGCCGGCCGGTGCGTTCACGTGTCCGTGACGTCACGCCTCGCCGCGTGCAGTTCTTTGTCGCGCCCAGCTGAGCGTCCTCTCGCCGAGGTCAGCAAGACAACTGTGCGGTGCGGCCCGACATCGCCGGGTCAGCGAAGGGACGTGCGTAGCCTCAAGGGCCGTCCTTTCTTCACTCGCCGCGTCCAACATTCCGCGCTCATCGTGCTGTTCACGTGCCAGCGCACGTGAACAACGTCGTACCACGTACCTTCGGGCAAGGTCAAATCACGTGTACACTAGTCAGTCACGGCTTTTGTTCATGAGTCGTTTAGTGTGTTCGGTTCGCGCGAGCTTTGTTATCGGTTGATCTGTGTTTCGCTCGTGACCGTGTGAATAGCCACGTCACGCTATCACAGTTTTCTTTCTCTCTTGTATAAATGTTACCGTATAGTTAAGTAAACGTAGTTATTGTGTGCAACCGAATAAAGTATATTTTTCTACTGAGACGGAAGTTCAGTGCGTAAACGACGAACGTATTTATTATTAATTTTTATGAGGAGTGTGAGGCTCACTCACATCGAGGGGTCGGCGGGAACCGCCGGTCCACCTCTCGTGCTCCCCATAGACTCAGTATTGTTTGAACACGCGTCAAAGATGGACATCAGCAAAGAGAAAATACGCCATATTTTACAGTTTTTCTTTGATAAAGGTGAAAACGCAAGACAAGTGGCTGAAAATGTGAATAGTGTTTATGGTCCTGATACTGTAACAGCCAATCACGCGCAATTTTGGTTTCGTCGATTCCGTTCCGGTAATTTTGATGTCAAAGATGCACCACGCTCTGGAAGGCCAATTGTCGAAAATGTCGATAAAATAGTGGAAATCGTCGAGTCCGACCGTCATGTAAGCACTGTTTCGATTGCCCAGGAGCTAAACATTGCACAAAAAACCGTTTGGAATCACTTGAATAAGGCTGGATACAAAAACAAGCTCGATGTCTGGGTGCCACACGAGTTAACGCAAAAAAACCTCATGGACCGAATTTCCATCTGCGAATCGCTGCT